GATAACATTGCTGACTTCATTTGAGACCATATGCCCCAGAGACAAATACACGTGTCCTGGACACAGTAAGTTGGCGTTGAAGACGTTCTGAAAGTGTGACAAATGTTTCGGTTAGCATGACAGCCGCAGCCTGAGGCCGTCTCAGCCAAAGAAATGTGAGTCTAAACACCGAAAGAACGGAAATACCAATAATTTTGCTGCTGGGATAAATGATTTGGATAAAGGGGGAAATATATAGGATTGTCAATTCTCTTGTCATGTTCTGTCGCCTTGTCAGTTCGTTATTCAGGATTTCCATTAACACAATAATAACTAACTATTTGAGGCATTTATGTGTTACACAATAATCGTCGTAACATCTGGAATAGTTTGATAATGGGAGTGTACATCAGATTGTGTATACCTTCGATATTAAGAAAACTGCTAGAAATACTGCACAGCAACATTCTAGATTAAAGGTATCGGGAACTAATTAATATCTAGTTACATCCACTTATTGGCAAGTTGTCAGGATGGGTCGTAAGTAAATAGTATTACAATAGACGCTAAGCTTCAAGAATTGAAACAGAACTGATAAGAAATTCAAGTTTCCTTTTTCTTTGCTCAAAAGTTTCATTTTGATTAAATATAACGCTGGCAGTTATTTGCTGTTAGTTGACTCCTATATTCATGATACCTAGTGGGAAATCGTGTAGGTGTGAAATGTTTAATGATTGTTATATGTTACGTGGCAAGAAGAATATCACCATAAAAATTCCTGTTCAGATTCAATAGGTTTAGGATCCCAAATACAATGACTGCTTCACAAGCGAGAAAGTGAGCTGAAAGTTCTAATACAATTCTTACGATTATATTTAGAATGTTTGACTCCAAAAATGTTTTCATTATTGAAAATCCAGCTAGGGTCCATGCAGGTAGCAAAAGTAATGTAAGTCCCCATGGTCCCTAGTTTGGTGATCTACCTCCAGTTGTTGGCGATCTGTAGCCCGTTTTTATATTGTATTATCCAAATAGTGCTATTAGTGTTAACTTTCCACACTAGTTTTAGTTGTAATTGTGATATTGTAGTTGTTTTACTGTCCTTTGAAGACAGGTTTTTCTAAGATAGACATATTACATTTCAATGACCAATATGTACTCATCACGATTTGGCTGAAATATTGCCGATGTGACGTTAAATATTAACTCACTCACTCACTCATTATTGAAAACCGAATCCTCCCTCCAATAGCAAGGAAGCGGTTGTTCGTTCATATTACTCCCCACTTGGATATTTGTTCAGAGATATCCTGTACCACATTAGGTCTGAAATTGCTAACAGCCACATCTGATCGAAAGTTAATACGAGAAAAATAGATTGATCATATCTCTTAATCATTATCCTATTTGCTCTAACTATATTTCTGGTTTGGTGAACATCTGATGTGATCTGGTGTGTTGCTCCTGGCACTGGAATGGCAGTTCATGTATCCTAACAGACGATATATCAGGCTGATAATCATACTTCCTTCTGTGTCCCGTGGGATATGAACGTCAGCGTGTTTAGAGTTCATCGATGTGTCTGTTCTGAAGCTTACAAGGTCTCGATTTCGAGGTCGTGTTTCCTTTCTGTACCTAGGGGAGAAGAAAAGAGAATTTATTTCGAATATTTATGCATAGAAAGGAAAACCGTTTTGTAACATTCGATGTGACAACTCACATGCGCATTGGCAGATCTCAATACGCAAATGGGCAGATCTCCCAATACGCAAATTGGCAGCATCAGAACGCAATTTGTAAAACAACGCAATCGAAAACACAACAGTATATTTAAATGTGTATTCGTGAAAGATTTATGCGAAACATTGACACTTTCAGATTAAACTGGTGATGAATGACACGGTCGGCGTGGATAAACTCCAGTATACACATACTGCCCGCCTTTCCGATGATAAACAAATATTATTTTACAGCATTATTTGATCAGGGACAAAATGTTTGCAGATTCCAAAACATCGATCCAATCATGGAAACACGAGACGTGGGGAGATGTCACATTTCATTTTTTTCTTCTTCTTGTTCTTCTTAGGAGCGTACAAATGAAAGTGAACTGGGGACAATGATTGGATAGGTGGAAATTGAGTTTTCAGTAGTTCTGTATTTAGTCAGCCGGGTTTAAAACTTTTAGCTTGTCATTTCATCTAAGCTGAAACCAATAGACTTGTGAGTTTCCGGGTACAGAAACCTAGCAGAAACCTACATTACCCAGTATCCACTAAGTTTCCACAAGAACGGAAACCAAGTTATTTTGGCGTGAATGCCATTACGGTCAACCTATCATAGTATTTGCCATGGTTATTCGACAGCATACCGATATCTTCACATGGTATCACCCTGAACGTTCAATAATTATTACAAACTTGGAATGGCCCAGGCGGATCTCACATGTGATATGTCACGCCTGCAATGGAAGTATGATCATATTGTGTATTATTCTAGGCGATGCTGGTTTTGGTGCTTCCTGGTTCTTTGGTGCCGATAAGGTGTGTGCTCAAGAGTCAGTGAGTGAGATGGGTTTTACGCCGCTTTAAGCAATATTCCAGCAATATCACGGCGGGGGACGCCGGAAATGGGCTTCACACACTGTACCCATGAGGGGAATCGAACCCGGGCCTTCGGCGTGATGCGCTAACGCTTTAACCGCTAGGCTACCTCACCGCCTGTGTGCTCAGGAAGCACGCCCAGCTGCAGTAGTATGTCCTGAAACGTGACGAATGGCATGTTTACCTGAATTAATGAACCGATTCTTTTCAGACATTCTGGGCCAAGTCTACTCGACTATCATTTGCTGCATGCTTATCGTAAACTGAAATTTATAAAAATTATAGTTTGAATTTCTTGAATATCAATGTCACCCAAAGCCTGGTTAAATCATAAATCTCTTTGATCAGGGTCATTTTGGCTTTTCCTGCATTAGCGCCTCAAAGTGAACATAACACTACGTATCTCTACGTTAAAGTGTTGTTACAGGCAAAGCACTGTGGTTATTCGGACGTAATCGACAAGGATTAATAGATATCCCAAATTAACCCCACACACGCAACTATGAAAATATAACGAGTAGTTGTTTTGGCAAAGCGAGTTCCATGTACAGAAAGACAAATTCCATAACGTATTCCCCAATGTAAGCGTTCTTCAATTAGGGCCTTAAAAGAAAGATTGGTGGTCTTGATGTCCAGACATTTCGTCTACATTCACCCATAAGAATAACACCTTCGCTGTCCGATCAAGCCCCTGTATTACACAATTGAGATTTTAAACCATAAAAGCCACAACCGTACGATACATAGCTTGAATACATAATGTTTGTGTGAAAAGTGCTGGAATGCGTCTCTATGTTAACGTTACTGCATGTTACGCGATGCCTCCCGAATTAACAGTTACAGGGTGGTAGCCTTATCCGTTTTTAATGCGTGATGTAAATCCAGTGTGAGATAAGGCCGAGACGTGTGTCAGTTTGGTAATACTATTTACTGGCGAGTGTGGCATAGACGAGCAGCCGTCACATTCGGGATTGATATATTCTTATCAATTAATCTATTGAAGAAGGAAGCGAAGGGTTGTGACTGACTGAATGACGCCTAGACATGTCATAATTCGAGTTATATCATTAGGTGTCAGTTTGAATTTGGATTAAATCATGATGTGATGCAGGCTTGGATGTTTACCGTGTATGGTGCAGGAAAATATAGACGTACATTCAGAACAAATAAGGTATTAGAACCAATCGCAATTGCCTTCTGTCACGTTAAGCACTACAACTCTATAATATATGTAATATATAGTTACCAAGGATTGCTTCATTTTGGAGAAACCTGATCTGAGTGCTGCCCGTGTTTTTTGTATCGGGTATACCGTATTTAATTGAATTGTGGCTGAAGCGTCCATAATTTACTTATTGAGACTGACTTTTGTAAATTGTTTTTACAACGTTTACTTTCAACAGTTGACTGGGCAACTAGTTTGCCAGAAGGAAGGCTGAAGTTGTTGTGACAATTTGAAAATAGCGAGAACTTTAAACGTGGGCAACCACATGCTTATTATACATTCTTCTTGTAGTTGCTTTGCAAGTTGGTTACATACAGCTCAGAAGGCGACCTCACAGATCGCATGTACAGGCTCTGTACCATGGTTGGTTAGGTGATACTGTGGTTGCTCTGCACAGAAACAACAATCATCGACCTCTTTGGTTCAGACTTTTTTTTACTGGTTCAGACTTGATTACAGCTGGCAATGGTGGCTTCATCATCATCGTCATCATCATCATCATCATCATCATCATCATCATCATCACGATCATATGAATTGTCTACCAAAAGCTGATTTCACGTGACGATTCTGACTAAATCATAATAAGGATGTGTAATAATTACTATAGTGAGTGAGTGAGTTTAGTTTTACGCCGCACTCAGAAATATTTATGGTGTCCTATAATTGCCATCGCGTGGCGCGTAAAAAAAAGAACTACGTCGTGGGCAACGTCGCTCACGACGTCACATAAAAAAGACGACGTCTTGCGCGACGTCGCTTTGTAAAATATATTTTGGCTACAAAAATAACGGGCCACGTCGTGAGCGACGTCTGACTATATCGAGTGGTTATCGGCCTCTGAACGTGGCTGACCAAGGTTACGTCTAAAAGAAAAATCGTTAAACGAAACAGGATTGCTTCAGTCACTCCCGATAAACATTTCTGTCGACCCGAAAATGTTTTTACACCTATATCCAATTAAATACCACCCTAGAAGGCCTCTGTTCATTGTATGTAAGGCATACCCATCTGCAAATGAAACGATCTCTTCCCCACACTCTAAACATAATCACCGCCACTATTGTTCGGTCCGGCATACCTCGGGCCGTCAAAAGCAGCTTAAACCTCACACATGTATCTTGAATTGCGTTTTAATTCACAGATTAGTATTACATCTACCTATATATCACTTTTCCAGCCCTTTTCTCTCTCCATTTTCACCCGTGAAGGTCCGGATTAGAAAGTGCCTTCAGAAACCCATGCTTGTCGTAAGAGGCGACTAACGGGATCGGGTGGTCAGGCTCGCTGACTTGGTTGACATATGTCATCGGTTCCGAAATGCGCAGATCGATGTTCATGCTGTTGATCACTGGATTGTCTGGTTCAGACTCGATTATTTACAGACCGCCGCCATATAGCTGGAATATTGCTGAGTGCGGCGTAAAACTAAACTCACTCACTCTCCATTTTCAACATAGCTTCAATCAAAAGTGTTAAAGTCTCAGTTGGCCCCACTTGGCCCGGGCTGTCAAAAGCAACTTAAACCTCACACATGTATCTTGAAGTCTCACAGATGAATCCTAGATTCTGTTTACATCCAATGAATATAGTTATATCTATCTAAATACCACTTTATAGACCCAGTTTTCTTTGTAACATCACAATGTGGCATTTAGGTAGATATAATACTGATCTATGGATTTAAACACATTTCAAGATACATGTGTGAGGTTTAAGTTGCTTTTGACAGCCCGGGCCAAGTCGGGCCGAACAGACTGAACACTTTTGATTGAGGCTATTTTGAGGGTGGGCAGACAAGGGCTTCACTTTAACGGACCAGTTACCTTTACATGTGGCATTTTGTAACATTTCAATGTGATATGTAGGTAGATATAATACTAATCTATGGATTTAAGCACAATTAAAGATACACCTTTGAGGTGTTAGGTGCTTTTGACGACCCGAGCCAAGCCGGACCGAACGCTTGTGACACAGTGTGTTTGTTGAGAATATATAGAAAAGAAGGCTTCACTTCGAGCAACGTGTTTGCTTGAAATACTACGCTTTGCGACTCTATAAAGAAGTATTTAGGTAGATATAATACCATTTTGCCTTTCATGTGTACTAGCAAATTTAAGCATATGCATACGCGCTGGCTATCGGATTTGGGCTGGTGTTGTTTACGGTTTAGAATACAATGAAAACACATAAGAATTTTTGTGTGTGTAAATGTATACTTTCTTTGATCCTTTATAACATATTACAAAAGGTTGTGATTTAATATATTTCTTTTAACATATATAATCATGTCATAATTTCCCATATAATATGGGGAGCAAATTATTTCGAAGCCATTGAAAATGTCCATGCATCCTATTTTAAAAGATTTCTTACAGTAGGTACATTTGCTTCCAATAAAGCCATACTTGGCGAAACAGGACGCTATAACATGCATATTGAGAGTCAAATGAGAGTTATTAGATACTGGATTAAACTTATAAGAATGCCTGATTATCGCTACCCCCATCAAAGCTATCAAATATTGTTATCACTGGATAAATGTGGAAAGTATTCATGGGCTTCAGATGTGAGAAATATGTTATTTTCAAGCGGGTTTTCTTATGTTTGGTTTAAGCAAGATGTTGGTGATATAAAAATGTTTTTGTCAACATTTAAACAACGAATAAAATATATATATATATTCAGAATTGGTACGCATCAGTCAATTCATCCAGTTTTCTTAGTCATTATTCACAATGTAAATCGATGTTCGGACCTGCAAAATATATCAGTGTTCTTAATGATAAGTCCCTTTTAAGAATTTTTGTAAATTTAGAATCTCTCTACATGCCTTAAAAATACAACGTTTTAGAAAAGATAATAATACATTGGAAGATTTATCATGTTCTTATTGTTCTTCTGGTAAAACTGAAGACGAACGTCACTTATTATTAGTCTGTAAGACTTTCTCTGCCTGCCGAAAGAAGTATTTAAAATGCACTAATGATGCCCCACAAACGATATATAATGTACTTAATTCTAATAATGCTGATATTATTAAATCTGTTGCCATTTTCATAAAACATTTGATGTCCATCCGTAAATCACATGTAAAACCATAATTTCATGTCACGTGACCAATAGTTGTAATTGAGTAACTTCAATTGTACTCTGGGCCACTGGGCCTTAACTACTGAATAAAACCTGTGTGACTGTCTGTCTGTCTGTCTGTCATTGTCCAGGTACTCCATCAATGTCGGGTGGTTATTTGCAAGCCTGAACTTCAAGGTATCTAGTCGTTCCTCCAAATCTCTGTACTTCTTTTTGGGGACAGTCTTTGGCCGGCATTGTACTGAAGCATCTTTGCCTCGTTCAGTCCTTGTTCATCTGCCAAGAACTTGGCCATCTCGAATAGGTTGGGATGTTGTTTTCCCACAACCTTCTTGAGACGGCCATGCCAATTGCAACCCCGGAGGTTGTTGTTTGTGCGGGGGCCGTCAGTATTTTTGGTACAGTCGAAAAGATTCACTTTGACTTCGCTGTGTACAGGTCCGTGGTTGTGGTCTCCAGGTATTTGGGAAATTATGTCGTTCACTGTTAAGACTGATATGCAGTCGTTCTGAATGCATCTCCACGAGATCCATTTCCCCTTTTCTTCTTGTTCACAATAAACATATAACCATTTACATATATGTATGTTCCACCACGAGAAGTATGAAGAAACCAATTGTGCATTTTCCATAACTGAATTTGTGGAAATGATGATGAAAACTGTCAATTCCAACATTCTTATAGCTTGCAAGTTTATGTAAGAAATTGAATAACTCACTACTAATGAACTGAGTGAACTAAACTCACTCACTAAACCCGCTGGTTCACATGTCAACCCGCTGGTACAAATGTCATATTTCGTTTCCTGAGTGGAGACATTTTACATTTTGTAGAAAACCAGTGTATTGATCCCTTAAAACAACACCGTTTTCACAACATCAAACATCAACTAAATTTGACAGAATTTTTACTTAAGGTGTTCTGGCACTAACCCCTCGATTGGTTTACTTAAATAAGTAGTAATGTTGAACATGAAATCAGTGATTAGAGATCAATAGCAGTACAACTGCATCACAAAAGGTTATTCCCCGATTTTCCAATATAACAATTTCTAAACACGACGTCGATTTTGTATTTTTGTCGTAGATCATTCTTGTGTATTTCTGCACGACGTCGTACGACGTCGTTGTCGACGGTTGCTGTCTGCACGACGTCGTTGTCGACGTAGTCTTTTATGACCACGACGTAGTTCTTTTTACGCGCCACGCGATGGCAATTATAGTACACCAAGCGAGCTGATATAAGCATGTTGCTCAGGTATGTGTCAATGTACAAACCAGCAGAGGGCAATGTGTATATGTTTATGAATGTTGAGAATGTACTTTTAATTACCATCCATTTTGTCACCATAATATTCAATACAAGACATATCTCATGGATAACAAATTCTTGATTTATTTTTCACAACGTTTCTGGGCTAGTTCTTGCCCATTTTTCAGGTGGATCCATCTGACCGATCCATCCACCTGAAGAAGGGACAAGAACTAGCCCAGAAACGTTGTGAAAAATTAAACAAGAAGTTGTGATCCATAAGATTTCTCTTGTATTAATACACCAACTTCTAAATGTCTTTGAAGAATTTCATAATATTCAAGTAAAAAATTCAATAATATTAGAGTCACTTCAGTTTGAACAGATAATAATCGTTTCGAGATCTCCGATTCAAGGTGTTGATGATGCTGGAATTGTTAGCACCATCTCTCACGCCTTTCAGTAAAGTAATAAACCTCTAATACCTGGATCACGTTGGGCTTTCCTCACACATTGTGCTGACAACAGAATTACTGAACGAATCGTTAAACAACCCACTCACTCAATGACATGCAGATTACTAGTATAATGCATCGGCAGTTGATTAACAATCCCAGACATAAGCGTGAAAAGTGTTTTTGTCAGTGGAAGAGCATGTTGTTATTGAGTACAAAAACGCAAAAGAGACAAAGAAACTGATCAAAGATAAGGTAGGTAGGTTTGACAGTGAAAAAGGTCACGTAATGCATCTTTGCTGTTACTTCACTAGAAACAGATGCAATCGATAAGCAGTTCAATTAAGATTTCCAGACACAATGAATAATCCTGTTAACAGAAGAAGACCACACTGTCCTGGTGGTAGCATGCATAAAAGCCTATCTACATGTTTCCCTTTGAAGGCGAAATATGAGAGTGCATATCGTCAATCAATAATTGCTATAGTGGCTATCAATGCAATAGGCAGTTGGTCCCGCTCTGAATATGGGCGTGTAGATTGAAACATGCGCGGAGACGTATAGACAGAAGCTCGGGAAAGTATGTGGGAAACAGCTGGGTAAGGATAATTTTGGTTCAGGTGATAGAGAGGGTGAGGTTCGGGGAAGATTAGAGAGGAGATATATAGGAGGCGCAAAGACAGGTAATTTAAAGGCAGGGTTTAGAAAGTGATCTAGAACTTAAGTAGGAAACAGTAGGAAAGAGAGAGAGAGAGAGAGACAGGAAGAGAGAGAGCGGGAGAGAGAAAGAGAGAGGGAGGGGGAGAGAGACTTAAAGGAGGTGGAGAGAAAGGATATAGAACGACAGGATTGTAGAAAAAAAAGAAAGAAAACGATAATGGTAGTGGAGATATTGGTGAATGAGTGAGTGAGTGAATCTTTACTGCAGTTATCTGTACTGCTGAAGTCTGCAAATGGTAGACTCACAGACAAACCGGTGTCTGAAAACATGATCCACGATGTTTGATACATGAGGGCACAGTGGCACTCATTTTGTCAAGTCTCACAATTTGACCGCCCATCTCAGTGTGTGTCTTTTCCTGTGATGAGAGAGGCGGTTGAGTAGCCTAGTAGTTAAAGCGTTCGCTCGTCACGCCGAATGTCCGGGTTCGATTCCCCACATGGGCACAATGTGTGAAGCTCATTTCTCGTGTCCCCCGCCGTGATGTTGCTGGAATATTGCTAAATGTGGCCTAAAACTATACTGACTCACTCCTGTGATGAGCATGAAGGCTTACTCTGATCAGGAATCTCACAATGGTCAACATAAAGTAGAGGGCAACCAATAGGAAAGAGAAAGGGATATATACAATGATAGATATATCTGTCTACTTGTTTCGAATTCAAGCAATCAAGCAATTTATTCTTGCAATAGGATTTATCAGCGACAGTTTAATACAGAATTTGTTCTGGTTTGCAGTTCTATATTAAGCATTATTGTGTTATAGTGTTCTTACACTTCATTAGCTGCATGCAAACCTGCAGCCGAGATTTTCTTCTCTCACACAAGAAGTCTGCCTCTTGGGAGTACACAATCGCTCTATATCTGGAGCAGTAAAGCCAATCAGTCAGCGGCAGTGACATTTTTCTTCGATGCCGACTCGACTGAGCTGGTAATTACAAGGCTTCCTTCGTCTACGATGCAAATGTACAAACACTCAGTGAAAAGGGCCACGTTCATGGTTGATTAAACTAGTCTTGTGCCGCTTCTGTAACAAGTTGACCTCTCAAGTGAATAGCTATGGACTAGAGCCTCTATCTGATACGGAAGGAAACTTACTGATTTCAAGTTATCCTGTTTGCAAAATATTCACCTGTGGTAAAACATAGCTTGTATGTATGCTCAAACAATTCAGTATCTTTAGAATATAAAAAATATTATATTTAATAGATAATCGTCCGTCAAGTCGACGTAATGATTGCCAAGTATACCATGTCTTAACCCGCCCATGCTTTACAGTTCATTTAGTGTAAAACATCATTTGTAATCCCCGAAGGCACTCACTAACATTATAGAACCCACAACATTATAGAAAAAATGAACCCACGACTGGTAGACTTAATATGGCACTTTGCTAGGTTCACACCAATTTGTATTGTGTATCAACAAGTCAATATTTAGAGCATGACAGCTTTTGCACGTTTAAGGTAATTGCGGAATGCCTTTCGAAGGTGAGTGATACCACCACCCCAACTACTACCACTACTACTACTACTACTACTACTACTACTACTACTACTCCTGCCACTGTTAGTTCCACTACGGTTAGAACTAGATTTAGCCTTTGGTGTGGTCTATCCGTTGTATATTTGCTGATTCGTTAGGATAGGTTGAGATATTTGGGGAGAAGAAAGTATTTGGGCGGTGTCCCTTTCCCTGTAAAGGGGCTGTCATAACACCATGACTGTCTTGTGGAACGGAGACATCACAACGACAGCGGGCAGTTTAAAACGTAACTTAACTGCCGCTTGAATTTATATTCCAAATGACCCGCCACCTTCCAAAATACAAAAATAATCGATGTCCCACAATCCAAAAGAACGAGAAGTTCTTATTGCCAAGCAAGTTCAACATACAGGAAGACCTATAGCTTTGAAAGTACTGTAATGTATTCCCAAATGTGATCGCCAACTGGGTAGGGTCTTGCATTAAAGGCCGTTGGTCTAAATGTCTCGACATTTCGTCTACATTCACGATTGAAAATAACAACTCGATTGGCAGATATAACCGCTGCAATATGCAACATGTGAAATCGTAATCCTCTAAAGTCAAATCTTAACTGAATATACATTTGATTTCTTTTGTGTGTGTGAGAGAGTGTCCAAATGCATCTTCATGTTAGCGGTATTACATGTACCAACATGCCACCAGCATTTGGGGAAGTGCTGTATCAAATGTTCAAAAAGTATTGCCTTAGGATGTTTTTGAATCCTCAATCCGTTATAACGACAAAGACACCAAAAATAATCTTCGCACTTTCTATTCATTTGTGGAATTGAACCCATGACATTGGCCTTCTCAAAGCTCCGACAGATGAAGAGGCAAAATGAGTTCTGTTTTCCTGTCAGACGCTCTAACCCATGGAAAGTCTAAACACGTAAGGACAGAAATGAGAAATTATGAAAGAAATTAGGATAAAGAGAGAGCAGGGGAGAATGTTAGGAAGGAGGCGACTGGATAGTTTATGAATAAAGAGTGAGTGAGCTATATGGCGGCGGTCTGTAAATAATCGAGTCTGGACCAGGCAATCCAGTGATCAACAACATGAGCATCGATCTGCGCAATTGGGAACTGATGACATGTGTCAACCAAGTCAGCGAGTCTGACCACCCGATGCCGTTAGTCGCATCTTACGACAAGCATGGGTTACTGAAGATCAATATTCTAACCCGGACCATCACGGGTCTTATGAATAAAGAAGGCTGCAGATACAAAATGACTGCATGGACAGGAACGAGAAAGAAAGAGATACAGAAAAAAAGGAGATAAAGAAAGAACGAGTAAAGGTAGAGGAAAAGCGGACATTTCAATATGAGTGCATGAATAGATTCTGTTCAACACAACAATCAACTCAGTACTAGATCGCTACCACGGACGCCAGTAAATAATGGAACCTGGTCACAACAAATCATTGCCTGAAAGCATGGGCAACGGTCAACGCCACCGGGGGTAATGACAAGACCAACTGCCTGACCAACTACATTTGTCGACCATTATGACGACCATAGGAACTCAATATGTATTCTTGCCAAGGATATAATAAAGGTTTTATCCAAAATGGAGAAGGGATCAACAAAGACGGCCAGAGATAGGAGGAATAATTCAAATGACATTATTGAGATGTAATAAGACAGGAGATGAATAGCAGACTAAAATAAGTAGTGGACTGAAAATATCCACATACAAGGGTCCAATTACAAGGAAAAGTAATATGAAACTGAATGCATCCTAATTGTATTCGCAGCTAACAAAGCCCTATCGATACAAATATAGACAGAAAGATATACAATAACAAATCATAAAAAAGAGAAATTGCTTTCTATTTCTGTTTGGTGTTTTGAATTCCTTACTTCGGTGACATTTCTTTCCAAATGACCTTTCTGCACGATTCCGACAGTTACGCCAGAACTTGTTCTTGTTTGCAATTCTACATTCAGTATTATTTGAGAATATATAACACATTTCTGCTGTAGCATTTGCCTGTTACCGTCTCCTACCGCCAAAAAGAGAACTATTAATTGTCCATTCGCTTCATTAACTGCATGCAAACCTGCAACCGAGATATTCTTCTCTCACACAAGAAGTCTGCCTCAAAGGGACTACACAATTGCTCTCAGACATAAAACAAATCAGTCAGTTGCAGTGATCGTGGCATTTTTCGTCGTACAAACACTCAGTGAAAAGGGCCATGTTCATGGTTGATTAAACCGTCTTGTTGATGCTTCTGTTGCAAGTTGACATCTGAGGTAAAGGACACGGAATATTATGTCAAACTGTTACCGATAGAAACTGAAGGATTTGAAATACTGCGTTTGTAATTGTGACTACTGTCATGGAATGTTCCTTTGGGTCACGTTTTTATACTGCTTCCGTATTTGACGTTAGAAACTATATAATAGATGAATATCTTTCCACCGTAAGATCAAACTGATTCTTAATTTAAGGCAAGGATCAAACGTTTTATTCCACGTACATAGATTGTGTCGTTTATAAAGGATTCGTTGTTATGTACCCGATGGCAGCAGAGAATCAACAAAAGCACACACAAGTTTAACAAATCCATCTGTTATCTTGCAGATCATCATGTAGATGAAGAAGATGACTCCCTTTGATACAGATGAAAATATAAAAACTGAGAAATTTCCTGTTCAGCAATCAAAACATGTACTCCTTAGAAACCAAACACATACACGATATGATCTGATTACACAATTCCTTTTAGAAAGTGGTCAAATGTAACATATGTTGTATACTGAACCACAAAGAAATGTCGCACCGATATCGGTTTCTTAATGAACTCACTTTAATTCACTCTAATTATCAATCAAAACGCAGGATTGGGTTCAAACTTGACAGTAAATGTTAACACATTTTCGGGAAACACATTTAGAGTTCACACAAACAAAATAACCAAAAATGGTATCATTAAGGTACCCCAATGTTAGTATTGTTGTGGCCTCTATGGGCAATGATGAAAGCGTTGCATCGTCTGTACATGGAATGCATTAGCCGGTTGATGAAGGGCCTAGGCACTTGAGTCCATACTCTGAATTGCTTCATGGAATCCAACAGCAGTTGTCGGACTTGAGTGCAGGTCATTCAGTCTCCTTTGAATCTCGTCCCAAAGGTGTCCTTTTGGACTCAAATCAAGACTGAGTGCAGGCTATTGTAGGATTTGGATGCCATGTTCTCTTAGAGAGTCCAATGTTACTCTGGTAGTCTGGGCACGAGCGTTTGTCTTGCTTTAAGATGTGGTACAACGAGGGGTCTTATGACTAGGCCAATGTAGCGAGCAGCTGTCACGTCATTTCCTCATCATGGACCGAGATTCTGGAACGCCACGGTGCTAACTATCTGGTTCAGACCGATTGCACCCCACATCAGGATGCTTGGACCACCCCACGAGTCTCTTTCAACAATACACTCACTGGAAAACAGTTCCCCACGTCTTCACCATACTCTCACTCTGCCATCGACTGTCGAAACACAATATCGGCTTTCATGAGAAAAAAGCACAATTCTCCATTGTCGATAACGCCAATTTCGATGCTGAGTTGCCCACTGCAGTCGGTTTTGGTGGTGATGAGCGGTGAGGACAGGACTACGATATGCATGGTCTGTGACAGCAGAGGTTTCTTCCGCGCAAACGTCGACGCACTGTATCGGCACTGATGGGTCTGTTGTGAGTCTGGCGTGCTCTTTCAGTCGCTCTGGGGAAGTGACCATGCTGATGGTGGCGCACAATCTGTCAGTCTTGACGTTGTAATGTTACTGAAGGTCGCCCACTGCGTGGACGGTCTTGGATGCTGTTAGTGACCTGATACCACTCCTGCAGTGGGTAGATTGTCCTAACATGAACATTAAAATGATTCATACCCTCCGTGCAGTCTGGCCAATTTACAAGCGTCCCATGACTTGGTTCTTCCGATCTCTTGTAAGTCGTGCCATGGCGATTGGTGTCAAAACAAAAATGATTTCAGTCGAGTTTGGGACTCGCTTTCATTGGTAGGGTTGTCTCAATATGCACGTGCATTTCATTTCACCTTTTACTACGTTTGCCTTTTGAGGTGCGTTTGGTCGATATGCTTAAGCTTTTTCATCAGAAAACACACTAATGTTGGTAATAACTGTCAATTTGGATTGAAAAACATGTTAACAAAACGGAACAATCATAATAAAAACACTTTTTTGTAAGAACCAAATTTTGCATTTGGTTTTGAAAAGCGACGGGGCTTTTTTGTGGTTCAGTATATTTGGGATTACACCTAGTCAGCCACCGCGACTTCCACACAGTAATAGAATTTGTACTTTACTTAGAAAGTGTAATCCCAAATATAATATATGTTACGACATAATCTACCAATGGCTCAGTAACATGTAGAACAACCTGTGGTAACTGATCTGCAGAATTGGTCTCCAGTAGTATATGCATTTAGCCTAACGAAGCAAGGATCAGGCCACGGCACAATGTATGACTTTGTTGATTGACTGTCATGGTAAAGGTGCATGAAGGAATACGCAGCTGCTGTTAACCGTGATGAGTGAGTGAGTGAGTTGTTTTCTACGCCGCTTTTAGCAATATTCCAGCAATATCACGGCGGGGACACCAGAAATGGGCTGCGCACATTGTAAACATGTGGGGAATCGAACCCCACCTTCGGCGTGACGAGCCAACGCTTTAACCACTAGGCTACCCCGCCGCCCCATTTAATCGTGATGAAACTAACCTGGTATTGCGACTTCAGCATTAAGTAACATTGATATTAGGTCCCAGAAACATGTAGATAAAATTGATATTTCCTCTCACTGAAGATGCTCTTTTCTTCTTACATGTGCAGTTGTGTCTGTACAAAACTGAAATTTGTTATTTTTACACCAAACGTCGAAGTCTGATGCACAGAAGTTGTTATCAAGATCCACTTGTTATTAACAAGATACTTGAATTCCTGGAAGACAAATGGATCCTTTGCCAATAATCTCCGTCCTGAATCCTGGGGGAAGAAGTTTCGGATCACGCGCTATCCTGATACACTGCATTTGATCCGTTGAGATCCAATTAAATTATTTTAGACAAACTAATATCAATACCTACAGTGCCCTCGTTGGCTTTCCATGACACGAAAAGAAAAAGAAAAATCTTTGATGATTAGTACCTGTACTTTCAAATCGTTGTAATGATGACATTGCTAACTGCATTTGAGATCATTTGCCTCAGAGACAAGTACACATATCTTGGACATTGTAATTTAACGATAAAGACGTTCTGAAAGTGTGACAAGGTTCTCGGATAACATGACAGTTGTTGCCCGAGGCCCTCTCAGACAAGGAAACGTGATTCTTAACGCCCAAAGATCGGAAGTACTAGTCATTTTGCCGCTAAATTAATGACTTGGGTGAAGCCAAATATTTAAATTACAGTTCTTTCTAATGTAATGAAATATTGCCAAGTTGTTCTAGATTTCTAATTCAGTTAACATCACGAAAATATGTAATTGATACATTTAGTTTAACACATCTGGATTTCTTTGACGACTGCAGTGCAGATTGAGTGTGCCTTCATATTGTTTCATATAGCATAGGAGCATTCTAGCCAAATAAGATTTGTTTAAGCAATTTACACGTGATCTAGTATCAGTATGACTAGACCCTGAGAACAAAGAGATGCCCTCTTGACATTGGTCAAAGGGCTATTATGCTAAGTTGTAGTTATGTATTGTTTCAACGAAGGAGAGACTGCAAGAAGTGAAACAGTATGATGCAAAAAATTCACCTTTCATTTTACCTTTGCTTGGGACACATGGCACACGTGCGGTCATCTAAAAATCCTTATTCTCAAACCTAAAATGCAATATTTCTCAGAAGGCATCACTGTGTAAATAGCCACAACCTGCACCTAAAACCAGCTTATGTAGCTTTGTATTTGAGATTAAGAGTTTTAGAACGTTATCATGATAACAACATAAAAGAAGCGCTAGCAACTTGATTACATACCTGAAAATGTCAAATGTTACACTTGGAACAGTAAAGAACTCTTTGAAAGCAATTACCGATCACAGTTCTCAACAGAGTTATTCTGATAGACGTTTAATCATGTCTCGACAAACAATCGATACGAGCAGGTTTTATTTTCATTACACAGTGAACTCTGTGACAGGACCATATGTCCCCGTCTTGTTGTCTCACCAGTTAATTGTGTCTCAATAACATAACATTAATTTAAAGGGATGGAATGGGGAAACGCACTGTCGGTGACGAAGGATCAGATGGCGCCCGAATGTTAGGTGAGAGACTTCTTCTCATGTATATTGTAAACTGATTCTTCAAAACGCATTTGGTATGGCACATTTTGAAGTTGTTTGGATTAGTTTTAATAAACACTGGTTGATTATTTACATCAATCTTGATATGGTTTGGGCGTTAAAATAGTAACACAAATGCCTATAAAATGAACGAGGATGACGTTTTCGTCAGCTTTCCAATAGTTTCCCTACCTCTCCAGCAGCCTTTCTTGTCTACCTTTGAATTCACATTTTTTTGCTGTTCAATCAGTAACGTTTCAAATTATATTATGGTAAACACATGGAAGACCTTTCAAAATATCATGCATTGGTTGCAAGGGTGTTTTCTGGTGACCGATTGACTTACCTTGCATGCGTTTCTGACGGATGCCAGTGATGCAGCAGAATATGCTCACCTTTTTGCAAACACCTGGCTTCAGCAGTTTCCTAATGATTCATAAACACATGCTGATAAGACAGTCGGAATCGGATTCTGTTTTCTGCAGAAATTTCGTTTGACTATGGAAAGTGTACACCAATGAAGGCATGTTTTTTACCTTTAGGCCAACATTATTAATCTAGTTGGATGTGCGGTTCAACCCTTCATTTCATCACAGTACCTCAATATGACCAATGTAATCCCACTAACAATCGCAATATAATCTCACAATATATCCATACAAGTGACCATTGCCGTTTAAAGTACGCATAGTTTCACGATAAGAACATATGTAACTTTGACAAACAACAAACAACCACATTTAAATTGGAGAGTCAGTAAGATGAGACATTTCTGTTGGACCATCTGAACCGTCTTCATATATGGTTATTTGCATTACAGTATTCGTTATGTAGAAGAAAAGTAAACATGTTCAGGATCTTGAACCACTTGGCTACCTCACCGCCCTTTGTCCTTCGGTGCACTTGCTGATGTCTGGTGTTAAGTGACGGTTCTCTTGACATGTTACGAAATATTATTTGCCAAACTGTTCTTGAAACAAATCATCCGTACAAAACCCGATTGGTCTCAATACAGAACATGCACAAATGACCTGGACGCAAGGCAGCATGTAGCCTAATGCGGTCGCACAATATTGTAATGTGGCTGTAGGCAATCGGAACATTTGTACAAATGTTGGAGGTTTAGCGAACAACTTAACAAGCGGATTGTGTGCGCTTGGGGTGAGTTATTGATAAAATAATCACACGTGGCATTAGACGCAAGCCTTTATGATATTTATTCATTTCACGTGGATGCGCTTTATCGGGTATTAAGCCGCTCGAGCACACAAGCCTAGTGTCTGTTCCTTTCTGTGTTGGTAACATTGACAGTGATGCAGATGAAGAATGACGGATGGTGGCGTGAAGTTGTGGCTGTCGGATAAAACTTCTCCACAGATGCTACAGTAGTAAATAAAACAAACAACATGCATGGTATACCTCTACGTGTCCGATTGTGATCAGGTGCATTTCGTGTTTTCTTTAAACAGTTGTTCCCAGCAGGGGCAGATCCATTCCAAGACACTTAAAATGATATTCTCTATGTTTTACATATTTATCCGTAAATGACCATGAAGGTTTTGCTACCTACCCATTATCTGAAATCGTTATACGTAATCGCTAATATGTGAACTGAATGCTCGTACAGTTATAACGGGAAAATGTCATCCTTACATGGGAACTTACGTAAAATCAAAGTATTTTTGCGAAAGGGACGTTGAGAATTGCAGATCCAGACCAGTGTCCCTTACATTTGTTTGCACTAGTCAGGACTAGCTTAGATCTAGACCTTTAAGATGTCATGCACAGTTTGACATGCTTTACTCAAACACACGATGAACACTCCGTGTTTTGTCTCTTCGTGCAAAGCACCAGGCATCGTGGACTCAGTGGACATGCGCTTTATCCACAAGACCACGGAGGCGGTACATGCATTAGCATCACACGGGTCAGGATAACCTGCCTAGTACTGAATATCATTTTGCTAAAAAGAACACGTTTCGGGCTGTAAAAAACACCAACAATGACCTACTCTCACATTTTCCACAGTTATCACACAGAATGTCATGCAACTAATAATATACAGGTGTTTTTCTTCACCTGCCGATAAGCCTACATTGCTGGATCCAAAAGAAACGTAATGTTCCTCCGAGCACCGTGTTAACCTGATATCAAAGAATTTGTTCAGTCCGCTGATCATCAATTATACACTCATGTTGCCAATGAAATGGTTATCGACCCAGATTGTCTGAAGACGTTTCCTTAGATAGTCCTGTCTACGACCTTTCGCAACCGTTTATTTCACATTTTCAGCACATTTGGCCAGCCCCTAAATGCCTCTGAATAAGGAAACACCCATGCGTCTAATGAACACTGATTTTACTTTTCCTCCGATTTAACCCATTTATGTTTCATGAAGCAGTCAATAGGTCAATAATTTCACTCATATTCTGTTCTAATCACTGCCGGTTGGCTGATACAGTATTTCTTCATCAATTATGTCTGCTTTCACAGAAACAGTCAACAAAGTGATGCATTTTGAAAATATATGTTTGATGTTCCTCACACGTTCAATATATTATGAAGCGATTGGATATAAAACCTAGATTCATTGCTTCTGTTTCTCACCGAAAATCTATACCTGAAATAGAACACTGCGTATAAAAAAAGTTAAAAGGTATATACTTGTGATGGTATCACACAATTAGAGCAACTCACACGGGTCTTTGTGGTATATACAGTATAGTTTTCAAAGCTTGATTAGCATGTCCGAGTGTCAAGTTATTTAAGGTTGAGAGACCAAAGTACGGTAAATAATGCCATACAAATAGTGTCAGATGTTGAAAGGGCTTAGTTTCATTTCAAAATCAAGTTACTTGATGCTATCGAATTTACAGCTGATCCTGGTGGATATCTAACGGTAGTTTTTGCCTAATGGTATTTCTAATGTACTTAGATTTGTAATATATATGACTCTTATTTTTAAAAACCTTTTATGCAATGAACTAAGTGGTCAATACAGTACCAATACTTCACTAATGAGATGCAGAAAGTGAAATAGGAGCCATGTCATTGTACTAAGAGTGGGAATTCATAACCTCATACATATACCTCAGTTTGATGCTGGTCTACATGTATAGAGCAGAACAATTAGTGCTGACAAAAAGCAAGTAGTAAAATCATAGAAAGGTTTGGCAATGAGATGAAAAGAATGTTTAATTACCCAATCTCAGGAAATGAGCAGATTGACATTAATTATGAGGAAACAGTTTGAGAGTTAATTGGTGTTAACTAGTTGAAGAAGTACGTCTTAAGATGGGCTACACTAATTGTCCATACATTCTGAATGGCTTTTTAATTGATTCACCTCTCCTCAATGTTTTTATCCCGCACGTTGAGTAATCACTATGTGTGACCTGTGGATCAAAGCGTTCACTCATCATGCTAAAAGTGCATACCCATCGTTTGGTTGTTCTCTTGGGCGATGTCTTTGTGATATTGCTACGGAGAAGAAAGAGCAGTCCTTAACTATTGAACTTCAGGTCTGTCCATACTTTGCCCATCTTGAATCAGCTGTTAGTAATCAATCCATGCTCCACAATCCTCGTTCTTTTCTCTACCCATTCTTAAGCGCCTAACAATCATCTCTTACTGTCAACTCATTAACCTGTTAGTCCACACTTCATTCACCCTCCATTAATTCTGAAGCCATTCTCTTACCAACCCCTAGTTATCTGCCCATCCGCCCATGGTCATACTATCTTCAGCCTTCCTAATCATATCTACCTTTAACCATTCTATCTATGTACGTGTCTACCCATCTATCTACCCATCCGCACTGGATCCTCCTCTGCCATCCCAGTACCTCTTTAAACTATATTTATGTCTTACCTGTGAAGATTTGATTAGAATGAGTCTTCAGCAACGCATCCTTTCGAAAGAGGCGACTAACGGGATTGGATGGTCAGACTCGCTGACTTGGTTGACACATGTCATCGTATCCCAGTTGCGTAGATCGATGCTCTTGCTGTTGGTCAATGGATTGTCTGGTCCAGACTCGATATAGCTGGAATATTGCTCAGTGCCTTGTTATTACAATAAAGAAACAACATAATCGTCCCTACGTCATCTAAACCCAATGTACGGTGACAACCACGATCTCCATCTTCAGCCTAGTTACGTATGTACCCATCCGCTCACATTCAAACCATTCTCCTACTTCAGTCCTTTACCTGGTGCTTTAAAATGCAATCATAAAAGTCAATCAATAATCTAACTGCAAAGATGAAAGCAACATACAGTATGAATCAAATCTGTCAGTTTCACAATCTAATGCCATGTGTTCCTGTTAAACACTATTTCCATGCTGTGTAATGTATTACACATTACCCACGTCGCTGCTTAATGATACAAAAATGAAACATGATACCTGCAAAAACAGCCTATCAGCAAAAAATACATGTCTCGCTCAGTGACAAAATAGAAACAGTGGACGCCACAGAACTTAATCAAAGGCACATGCTGAGAAGAGCAGTATCACGTTTATTTGCAAATGTTATTATCACAACAGGATACCGTCGCATTACACGTAAACACAGCCAAAGAAGTACTTACTGCCAGATGAAATCGCTATCTTATTCAATAATCTAAACCCAATTCCATTCTTACTGATCAATCAATGTAAAACACACTGAATCTGACAAAGAACAGGTGAAGTTATCTAAGGCAAATTACTTTGTACGAAATTTCTTTACCCAGAAGCAAAACCTCGTAGGAAGAAAAGCCAGGACTTCTTTCATCTGTATCGTCCACAAAAACCTTATATATTTTTAAGTATATAAGTGTTATTGCACATGCTTTGAGCACAGCTGGGCAGCCGTACATTGGGTAGCAAAAAACTTACTTTTTATGCCAAATGTGTGGGCTGCAGGTGTTACTGGGAGAGCAAGACATGCTCACCCTTTTCACGAACAACAGGTGTCATCACCGATCACTGTCAATAATCTTTTTGCCTTTCACGATCATTGGAATCTGCTTCAACAGGTAATCAAGACTGAGTATTCTCTGTCGCTGCCGATGAATATTTGCATGGCCTATTCATTGTTTCCAGAAATCTAAGTTTCTTATTTTGTTTCAATAGTTGAAGACCGTCGTGAGGTACCAAAACAAACCAACTCTTTATTCTCGAGAAACCACCAACGGGCGTTACAGGAGATAAGCGTATTTACATTTACATAATATACAAGATAGCAGCTTATAAATTAACAATACTTCATTTTTTAAATGCATTCAATACGTGATTCAGTAATTTAGAATGGCCTTTAAAATCGCTTATGCTGGTAGTAGATAAGAGTGTCTTAAAGATGGACATCTCTGTAAATTCTAAGTATTTAGCGTTCAGATTGATGTCGCACTTGGAGAAAAGCTTCACATCTAAAAAAAAGTAGTGAAACTCGTCTCCAACAGTGTTTGAATCACAAAATGGACATTGTCGGTACAAGTACTTAGTGTGGCGTAAAACAACATTCACTCACTCGCTATAAATGAGATCTTATATATCACAGATATGCAGTGCGTCTTCAGCTTGTAACCAGTTTTCATCCGAGCTCTATAATTAATACCTTCTGTGAAATTGATACATCGTCTCCGTATTGTTAGGATAGGCAGTTGTCGTCATATTGGTATAGATAATAAAACTAAATGATGATTAGTCAAAGAGTACAATGCACCTGTTTATTTGAAATTGGAATCTTCGCATCTATAATATTGTCATTCTCTGTAGACTATGCTCATCATTACGTCTTGATAAATGTCAGCGAAGATATCGAGGAATTATGCCAATAAAGTGTTCATTAATGGGATGAGAACATGTTACCTCATTTTCATGTAACAGAACAACAGTTCTCAGTTTTCACCATGTTTATGCATTTTTCATTATAAGAACACATAATGATAATGGCTATTATAAAGCTGCATTGCTCAAGGTGCTAACACATCATTACTCTGGATCACCCAATATGTCGTGCATATAGATATCGTTTTGATAACTTACTAATTTTCAGTGTAAATCTGTGATATTCTAGTTATTTTTGTTATTCCTTTGTTGACAGGTATTTATATCCTGTAAGCTTTTGTTATTATCATATAGATTTCACAGTGGCTGAAATACCGCCGATGTGACTTTAAATTAATTCACTTTCTGTCTTTCATATCAGATGGCATTTACTTGCGTTCTATACATCTTACTGGTTTATCAGTGAAGCACTGATGTATGATGTTTGGTTGAATGTTTTCACAACTATGTACATAGGTATCTATACAATTAAAGAGCATTATGCAGAATTTTTGCCAACATAGACCCATCTCCAGCTGACTTTGGCTCCTAATATAAAACAATTTCCAGCAGGCTTTGGTTCGTAACACAGACCAATCTCCAGCAGGCGTTGTCTTGTAACATAGACTCATCTCCAGCTGGCTTTGGCTCGTAACATAGACCCATCTCCAGCTGGTTTTGGCTCGTAACATAGACCCATCTCCAGCTGGCTTTGGCTCGTAACATAGACCCATCTCCAGCTGGCTTTGGCTCGTAACAAAGACCCATCTCCAGCTGGCGTTGTCTGGTAACATAGACCACATCTCCAGCTGGTTTTGGCTCGTAACATAGACCCATCTCCAGTCTGTTTTTCTCAAGATCACAGGCGTCATACGGTACACTTCTTGGACTCGGTGACATATTGCAGTGGAAACATGAGAGTAAGACCTGTAAATGTCATCCTCAATATTTGTCACTCAATCTCAAGACGCCTGTCATATGAAGTCGACTACAGCAGGCACAGTGATACTATCACCATATCAAATGTAAAGATTGCTGATAGAAGTCATTGGCTTTGTGAAAGCGTTGGCACATGTATAAGACAGTAAAGCAATATTGTTAGAGCTTAATGTCACATCAAAAGGTATTACTTTATTTCTGTGCCATGTTCCTTTCACTCATTCTTCATGGTCGGACATAGACACAGTTTTATGATTCGGCTACGATTAGTTCTGTAACTTGAACAAAGATGTAAAGTTAATTTGATTTTTTAAACTTAAAACCGTTTCAGGCTATAAGGCGATATAAGTCGATGGTCCTTACGAATTCGAGTTGTGGATATTGAGTTCCAAATGATGTGAGACGTGTATTGAATGGTCCTTAATGTAATTTGAAAACTAGCCCGTTAGCGAAAATCGATACTACAAATGACTTTAAAATATACTTTTCAGTACGTCGTACGTACTTGATCTCTTGATCTTTAATGCATGTTTTGTGTGTTTCTTTGAAGAATACATGGATATTTATCTTAAAGGGCGGACGTTATTTGTCCTTTGTATTTATATATTGCTCATACGTTACGTTTATAAAAAAATCATCAACAGTTGATGATAAATTGTTCAAATTTGGCAAAGTCATTATCACCATCCTTGCTCACATGAAACAATTGAATGTCAAGGTGAAAACAATCTTCTCAATATCTCCAGAACTGCCTGGCATCGTTGCCAAGTGGAACCAGGCAGATTATGAACTGTGGCCTGAGGAATGTTCACCCACTCTTCTTGCAGTGCTTCTGCCAACTGTTCGAGGTTCTGTGACTGTTACTGACGTGAAAGCAGACGTTGATCAAGAGCATGCCATAAATATTCGATGGGATTTAGTTCTGGAGACCTTGGGGGAAATGGCAGTACCTGGATGTTGTGGTTTCCCAAAAAGCTCGTTCATTTTCGTCGTGTGCGGTCGGGCGTTGCTGTGTTAAAAATAACGTTTGCTCGTGTGAATGACATGTAGAAAGAATTATTTGTGTAACGTTGAGCACTTGACGTGTACCAAGTCTGCACTAATTGTATGGGAGATAACAGCCCACATCATTACACTCTCACCACCTAACTTTTCTTTTTTTCTACTTTCTGTATGGAGTTTCGGTCATGACGTTCCCCAAAGTGCCCGTAAACACGACGCTTTACATCTGTACGGACAAGCAGAAAATGTGAGTCGTCACTAAACCAAACACGTCTCGCTGTTGATGCCGCCATAGTCTGTGTCCTTGGGGTTGCAGCCGACCATGCTGATCAGTCTAAATTACGCTTCGAACTGGGCTGAAATTACAGCAGACCTGGTAATTCTGTAGCTATGGAGGTAGCCATGATGAAACTATCACCAGTGACGAGGCCGTCCTGGGCTTCGGTTGTGACACGTAGTTGCCCGGATCTGGGTAGGTCACGTGTTGACCCTTGCGTCTGATAACGGTTCCGTAGTAATGTAATGTTCCTTGGAACGAGGAAATACCTGGTTACCATCGCCCGTCTGCAGTCCCCTGAAGGCGTTGTTGAGCTTCAGTCAGTCGTGGCATGCTTTCCGTTTTCGCTCGCTGTACAGTTGTGATGACAGAAACATGAAAACCTATTTTCGTAGCCCAACAATTCATGCTGCACGTTCATTACTCGTCGGTGTGTTTGGCCATCACGCTCCTACGTCGTTGTGTTTTTGCGTATTCACTTTAAAGTTGGCTGACCTTGTTTACCAAGAATGTCCGAATATAACCAAAGAATCGCTACAATTATTTCCGTATATACATAATTGTACCCACTCAGAATAGTAAAGGTTGGGACCTACGCGCGTACTGAGGTTAAGCCTGTTATTCAAAACACGATTATTTGTCTATCATGACAGATCATGTGAACGGTCAACCATTGACGTAAATATGTCCTATATTCAGTTTCACAATGATCCTGTAACCAGAGATGTCTTTCCCTTTTCAATGACCTGTCACATAAGTGGCGAGAACGATGGTGCGGAATTTAAACGGTGGCTTCAGCATTACCAGAATGCATTGATTAGGGAAATGGCAGAAATATCAGTACAACAACTAGTCAAGCACAGGACTGACCATCTACGCATCATTCTTCAAGGCCGATGGTGTTTATGTTTGCAATGATGAATACTTGGGTGAATGTTCCTATCACAACCTGACACTGAAAATGCCAGTTCATATCAAAGCTATTGGAAAA